CTCACTGATTACACTGTAAGTGATAATCCACCTTAACCAAAATCAAAGTAGACTATCACTCACCCACACCAGATGGAAAATATATATATATATATCATCACAAACAGAACTGCCCGGTAAAACCGTAGGCAGAGAGAGAGAAGAGGACAACAAATGAGGGGCTGTGACAAACTGTTTCGTCGGAGTTTCACCGACTCATCAGGAGGCTGAACCCTCAACAGTCTGCAGAATCCCCTCACTGATTGCACTGTAAATGATAATCTACCTTAACCAAAATCGAAGTAGACTACTACAGACTGTCGGTTCACACCCCACCACAAGCCAGCAAAACATCCACGAAACAAAGAAAGGTCTGTCACAGCCAAAAAATACACTCCAGACACGCCGCTGGCACTATATATATATATATATCATATATATATTATATATCGTTCGGAGGCCCCTAAGCTAACCCCCTAACGTTCGGGCGTTCGGGTCCCCGTACGGGGCCCAAACCTGAAGGGGTTTGGACCGTGCAAAAAAGATTTTGGCACCTAAATATTATTATGTTTTTCTGTTTTTTTTCTTGTGAGCTCGTTGTGATGTAAGGTATCCTCTTAAGTTTGAAGCCATTCCGTTGAACCAAAAAAAAAAAATGAAAAATCAGCAAAGATGGTGGTGTCAAAATTTGCTTGCCCACTCCCTAATTTGTTTTTTTTCTCTTTTCACTTTTTGGTTTTCCTTTATTTCGAGGCATGAAAAAAATTATTGTTTTTTCGAAGTTCATTTGTAGATTCTCTATTATGTAAGATACACATAAATTTTCATGGAATTTGTCACAGCCCAAAAAAAAAGAAAAATTGCCAAAGATCATTCTCGTTTTATTTTTTTCTAATTTTCACTATTACTATTTATTTTTAGTATTTGATTTTTATTTCAAATTTGGTAAAGAATTTGGATGTAACGTTGAGGCAAATGTTGTTTAGTTTATTCTTCTGCATAACATATATTGTTTAAATTTTTTTCAGATTTTTTGGAAATCTTTTTTTTTTTTTTTGGGTCCGCGTTCGGACGAACGGCTGAACGGTCGGGCGTTCGGATTCGGGCGCTCGGCCCATCCCGAACGCCGGCAACCCTATATATATATATATATTCCGCACATATTATATGCCCATCCAGAGATGCAATTCCGGACATGTCCGGATTAACCGGAAACTACCGGAGAACCGAACGTTCGGATCAAACCGGGAATTCCGGACTCCGCTGTCCAGACTTGTCCGGTTTGGTTGTCCACCACTGTCATGGTAAAAACAGATATAGTTAAAAGTTAAAAGTGTGGTTAACGTGTGGTTCAAAGTTAACGAAAACGTTAAGCCGGACACCAGCTCAGGACAACAGACTGGAGAGCAATGAAAAACAGGAGATCACACACTGAACATACTGAGATCAGTATTCGCCTACTATTCGTTCCGTTGAAAACTTCAAAGAAATCACCCGTGCTAAAGATGAAAACCCGGTGAGCACCAGCGGTATTCGCATCACAGAGGTGGGAGGGGAGGGGAGGGGAGGGGAGGGGGGTATACAGATGAGGGAAATTACAATGAACTGATGTGAAGACACCAAGGATATTCACGCACGATTGTGACAACAGAGACTAAAGCTGAACAGAGTGAAGGTAGCGAAATTTTGAGGAGAACGTAGAAAAGGGAAGTGAAAGCGAAGACAACAGATGAAAAAGAAACCACACATTCGCAGATCAGCAAGTGGGAAACGTCCCTAGTTAGACAAAAAAAAAAAAAAAAAAGAAAGGATTAAGCCAACCGTCGTGAAGTCCAGAATCGTGCAACGAATACTGTCTCTCTCTAAATCAAACCCATCACAGCGGCCAGTCAATAGACAGATTTCCACAAGGCCACCCATCACTCCAGAGTCCAAACACACAATGGGAAAATGCATTGAATCATCGAGGAGAGGGAGAGAGAGGGCGGGGAGAGAGAGAGAGAGAGAGAGAGAGAGAGAGAGAGAGAGAGAGAGAGAGAGAGAGAGAGAGAGAGAGAGAGAGAGAGAGAGAGAGATGGTCCACCCACCAACCTTTGTGTAAAAAGACACGCCTAGACAGAGGGAGAGAGAGGTAGGGTTGGAGAAAAGAGGGTTGGAGAGAGAGACAGAGAGATAAAAGAGGGTTGGAGAGAGAGAGAGAGAGAGAGAGAGTGCGAGTCATTTCCAGCATTAGCTAATTGACAAGTATTGTGATATTTGAAATAAGAGAACAACTTGAGGTAAGAAAATAAGTTGGACTACCTGTCCATACTCCTTCTGACTGTATCGCCAACCCAATACCGTGCGTCCCACCAGTGATGTTCATTTTCTTTGGCTTGCTTGCAAATCCATGTGGACCACCACCCTTCTCATCACGGGCGGCAAGCGTAAACTCTCCCTGCAGAGCTCTCCGCGAGAGGAAATCCAATTCCGTCGGTGGCGCAAGTTGCAATGGAAGTGCCTATCTCGTCTCCTGTAGCCAAACGTGTGTGCAGCACTACCCGTACCTCGATGCCTCGTTTTACCGAGGCGGGGTCGTTATGCACATCGAAAAAAAGAAAAAAAACAAACCGCCACAGTGGCGTTTTTATCTTGTTTTGGCTGCCGTCTCCGCCATTTTGATCGGGTAGGACTGTTCATCTCCCATCATTTGCGATACAGAGGAGGGGAGCACTATCATCATCGTCATCATCATGAAAATAAAACTCATAAAAAACACATCACAAATTCGAATTTTTATTTTAATTTTAAAACAGATTTAAATTTTAAACAATGAAATTATGCATGTCATCAGAAGCTTCCTTGTTCTTGACCCTGCAGAGCACCGATTTTTTTGGTTTTTTTTCACCACCTGCATGCCTCCGAATTGTCGGGACGCTGGGCCTGCCGTCGATAAAATCCATCTGTGGAGTCCGTGCGTCACACGTCTCCAGAATTCAAAGAGCCTTTTCGGTGACAGGCGTGCTGCACGTAGTGGTGGTCTAACGCAAGTCTGTCATTCCCTGGAGAATATGGATCTCAACACCGCAACAAGAGCTTCTGTCCGCCAAGCAACATCCTCCACCTGGTATAGTAGACCCGTCATGCCTTTCTTCTCTTCCTCCCGTCATGTTATGCGGATGAGAAATACCATCATCATGAATATAATACACATTAAAAAAACAATTATCCACGTCATCCAGCTCGTTTTAGACCCGGTGGAGTACGTTTCACTTGCTGTTTTATTAACTCTGTTTGTCGCGGCGAGGTTCCGTTCCATCAACACATCTGTATCGTCAAGAGTCTGCAACGCCAAAAAAGATACGACAGGAAAAGACAAAGAAAGGCAGCAAATAGAAAAAGGATTAGAATCAGTGAAATAACCAAAAACAAAAGATGCATCAGAAAGACAGCGTCAGCATTGTGGTATTAGGGCGCAGGTTCAAATCTTTGAGCATGCACTTTTGCGCATAGGCCACCAGCAGGCGTCGACCGACGTACTGCCATTCGCACCCCCCCCTTGGGCTAACGCATGGTACTATTACAGTCACTGCCTGCGCATTACCCAAGGGGTTAGTAGTCCATGGTTGCAGTATGCTGGAAGCAGGCCTTGCAGCGGAGGGTTGTTTTGAGTACTTGATCTTGGGATGGTCTGACAAGTCTGTGAGTGTGTGTATGTCTTTGTGCGCCGTCTCCTTCGTATGCACCGCTCTGCTGGTGTGTCATGGGTGTGACTGGGTACTATGGTAGTTTCCCGACCTCATGGTACACCAGCGAGAGTCCATACCTGCACTGTGCGATTTTTCTGGTCCCACTCCGGCCCGCTCTCTACACCCTCCTTGAGTAGTGGTAGGGTTGGGTGTTAGGTATATACGATTCCCTTCCCAAGGGTGGGCCTCATGTCTATCTTACGATGCTTGCGGGGTGGGCTTCATCTGGGCTGGTACCTGTCCCATGGAGGGCGTTGATTGGGGCGTGAATCTGGGGAAGGGTCTATGGGTAGGGGTCTCATCTTAGGCATGGGAGGGTGGGTTGTCGCATTGATAGTACAAGGGTGGTAGACACCCATAAAGTCTACTAGATGTGATACAGGTGGGGAATGACCACATATCTGTGACCCCTCCATGTCCAGGTCGTCCTTGAGAATTCGGGGTGTCCCTATGGTAGCGCCCGGGGCGACTCGTCTGAGACCCTCGGAAGGCGCGGGTTGGTGTAGGTCTAGGTCTAGAGACAAAGTCTGGGTCTGCTGTAGGGCTCGACTTGCGATCCGATTAGGACAATAAAAAAGTTCAGGAATGATGCCCCCGGGAGGAGACTGTCCTTGGGGCTGTCACAAGCCACATCTGATCTCCCCACTGGTCGAGTACAACAACAGGCACCTCCTGAGGCCTAGCATCCAGCCTCTACTACGATCTGGACTTTTATCAAATAAAATAAAATAAAAAAAGAAAGCGTCCGCAATGACTGTACAGTTGTGTAAGCCCACTTGCCGTTGCATTGGCTGAGTCATTTTTCATAATCGACCAAGCAGGAAGTGATGCTTATTAATTCAGAAAAGGAAGGAAAAAAAATCACACAAACCAAGCGGAAAGAGGGGCAAAAGGGAAAAAGAAAGAAAGAAAACCACTCAGCACATGCTGTGCAACGACACTTAGCGCATTGCTGTGGAAAAGCGCTTCGTACATGCTGTGGACGAGCACGTATAGTAATACATAAATGTGGAAAATCATTGAGTACATGCTGCTGAAGACCACACATGATGCTGGGGAAAAACACATAATACATAATGCAGAAAATCACTTAATACATGCTGCTGAAAGGCACAAAGTACACACTGTCGACAATCACTTAGTACATGCTGCCGAAACACACTTCATCAAAGTACGCGGTGGCAACCTTACGGCTCGAAGAGCAGACGCTTCGTGTCAGAGTCCCCCGAAGGCACTTTCGCACGTAAGAATCATGCTGTGGAAAAGCACTTGGTACATGCCAAGGAAAAGCACTTCGTACATGCTGGGGGAAACACACCTAGTACATGCTGGATGCTGTGGAAAAGCACTAAGTACATGCTGCGGAAATGCACATGGAAAACCACTAAGTACATCCTGCGGAAAAGCACATGCCACATAGCACATGCTGCGGAAAAACACTTAGTACATGCTGCGGACACACACGTCATTCATGCTGTGGAAAAGCACTTAGTACATGCTAAGGAAAATCACTTAGTACATGCTAAGAAAAGCACTTCGTACATGTTAAGGTAAAAAGCACGTAGTACATGCTAAGGAAAAGCACTTAGTACTTAGCATACACGCTAAGGAAAAGCACTTAGTACTTAGCATACACGCTAAGGAAAAGCACTTAGTACTTAGTACATGCTAAGCAAAACCACTTATTAAGTTAGTACTTAGTACACAGTAAGGAAAAGCACCTAGTATGTGCTGAGGAACAGCACTTAGTGCATGCTAAGGCAAAGCACTTGGTACATGCTAGTACATGCAAAGGCAAAGCACTTGGTACATGCTAGTACATGCGAAGGCAAAGCACTTAGTACATGCTAAGGCAAAGCACTTAGTACATGCTGAGGAAAAAGCACTTAGTACATGCCGCATAGCCGCATAGCCGCATACCTTGTCGGCAGACTTCACAGCTTGGTCAAACATGAGGCTATTCAACTTCAATTGTCCGGCCAACTCTACCATCTCATCAGTCAGGGTCTCCTGCAATTCCCTGAACCCACCAAAACGTTGGAAACAGCAAAAGAGGAAGGCAACCAAAATATTAATAACAACATGAGCAAACAATCGCGGTGATCACGGAATCCATGTTCGACTTCCACTCAGTGCATATTTAACGATCACCGAAAAAAGTTGTGACCTGCTTTATTTATTGCAAGTGGAGGCCCGCAGCCAACAGCCATAGTGAATGGACCCCCCCCCTCTCTCTCTCTCTCTCTCTCTCTCTCTCTCTCTCTCTCTCTCTCTCTCTCTCTCTCTCTCTCTCTCCCCCTCCCTCTCTCTCTCTCCCTCCTACCGTCTTCCCCCAAACACGACGCGCCCTCATTTTTGCTGCACCAGACCGGAAAGATAGCTTGTATACATTCGCCATCAGTGTCCGAAGCCATTTTGGCTGCACCGAACTGGAAAGATAGCCCTCTCTCTCTCTCTCTCTCTCTCTCTCTCTCTCTCTCTCTCTCTCTCTCTCTCTCTCTCTCTCTCTNCTCTCTCTCTCTCTCTCTCTCTCTCTCTCTCTCTCTCTCTCTCTCTCTCTCTCTCTCTCTCTCTCTCTCTCTCTCTCTCTTCTTATCAGGCATCGCTCTACTACTCTCCAAATGCACAAAAGACAAACTACGGCAGTGTATCTTTCCATGTTCTATCGGAAGATTCACTCTCATTTTGCACATTTGGAGAGTAGTGGAGCGAGGCCCATCCTTGTGCAGGGGTCATGCTAGTCTTCTCTCTATCGTTCCAATTTTCACAGATGTCGTGAAGGACCTGCGTTACACTCTGAAGAGGTTATAGATTATGCCTAATTGCCGTTTCGACAGACCAAAAGGTTAGCCCACCACTGCAGTTCTTCTTGCTACAATGTCTAAGCAATCCCATAACTAATCCACCACTTGGGACCCCTTCCCACTGTCTCAGCAGTTCCAGAGCTGATACAATTGTGCCCAAGCCCATTTTCGAATGCAGATCCGGTATTCCTATTTTTGAGCGCCAGCAACAGGCCCAATCAACAGCGCTTTCAAGGTCCTTCTGCCCACAAGCCCCCCAAGGCCATCCTTTCTGCCCACCCCAAAAGAGGGCTTGGGTCATTTTTCAACTCGGGCCCACTTCCAGGGGCAATGCTGATCTTGCGTGGGGTCATGGAGGGGCCATACTGATCTTGCTATATTCTTCCATTTCCAGCTGCAGGCGCTCTGTTCTCGGGCTGCAATCGCACTAGCTCTGCCTTACATGTATCTAGCCGCATTCAGGGGCGGATTTGGATGTATCAGACCGCAATCATGCCCATAAAATATCTAAAAAGTCCTCGTGTGAGTATTTTTTTATTTTTATTTTTTTTTATATGGTCCGATGGGCCACGGATCAGATATTAAACTGATCAGAACAGATACTACACTTGATCTTAGCCAAAAGGCCGAGAAAGGTATTGCTCTGATGCTTTTGGGAAAGAAAAAAAAAAACTTCGGACAATTTCTGGATTTATGCGTGCCATCCTTGTGCAGGGGCTATGCTAATCTTCTCTGCATCGTTCCAATTTCAACGGATGTCCCAAAGGACGTGCTTTCAAAATGTAAAAACGAAAGGGAAACAGAAAACCACACTGACCTGTGTTTTTGGATGAACCTCTCTGCAGATGCATCCAACCTGGACACCGAAGAATTCCCACTTGCATCCACTTTCTCCCATGTACCTGGTGATTCATTCTTCGTTGCTCCGCCTCTGTGAGTACATTTTTTACACACCACAGCCACCGCTTCCTCCATACCCCAGCACACCCCTCCGCCACTCAGCACCCCGCATCTCCTCCCGCCAACCCCAACAGACCCGTACTCCAAAGGAGGACCACAAAGAAAAAGAAAAAAAACAGAAAAAAAAGTACACATTCTCATTAGCAAGCCCACAAAAACAAAGTTAAACAAAAATATCCCCTCCGGCACACAATAACAGAGGTGATGGCAACCGCCCATGATCTGCAAGCCATCCTTCCATTGGTCGATAATTGTCCCCTACTGGCCCTACCCACATTCCACATGCTCTGCCATACCGAATTATATCTCCTTTAAACCCCCCGCTTGGCATCTTGTCCTCTCCCCCTTCACCCTCTCCCACCCTCGCCTTCTCCACCCTCTCCCCCCTCACCTTCTCCCCCACCCACTTCCATTGGTCGATAATTGTCGCCTACCCACATTCCACATGCTCCGCCATACAGAATTGTATCTCCTTTAAACCCCCCGCTTGGCTTCTCATCCCCTCCTCCCTCGCCCTCTCACACCCTCGCCTTCTCCGCCCTCCCCCCCATCACCTTCTCCCCC